GGGCACCGAAGATCAACTTGCCGATATATTCACCAAGCCATTAGATGAGAAAAGGTTTTGCAACCTAAGGAATGAATTGAAAATATTGGATTTCTCAAATATGTGTTGATGCACCCCCCATTACATGACATGCCTCTCCTTCGAGCAAAGCAAGGTAAAGTTGATTGACATGTCATTCATCCATTGCTAAGGACTTGTTTAGTGCATCTAGTCATTCCTATCATGTCCTAGGCTCATTCATGAAAATCAAATGAGTTTGATGCTTGTATGGTACCACTATTGCTTGTATGCTTGAAATGATCTAGTGGTAGCATATGACATGCTTGTGGGCTTGTAAACCTAGTGTTTGATCTAGAAAATGAGTTCTAAGTGTTTAACTCAATATGGTACAAGATAACCCTTATTTGGAGGTGTGAAGAAGCTTGTCCTTGGATCAAACCGAGTTAAATATCTTTTGCAAGTGATCTAGATTGAACCAAATTGGGAAAATGATCCTCATTTCACATGGTTTCACCCCAACCTATCTAAAATTTGAGCTCTCTTTTTGTGCTAATTGTTGACAAAGGGGAGAGAAATTCACAAAGATAGTAAGATAGGGGGTGTAAGGGGATCAATCAAACTTGCACACAAGTAGGGGGAACAAGTTCATAAACTTGTATGTTGCAATTGAATGTGCATTTCATATATTTGCTTGCATAGCACAAGTTTTAAATTTCAATATCCATGCTTGTGTGGTATATGCTAGTTATAGGTTTGAATGATGAAATAAAAACTAGCATGCATAGGTTAAGTAACTAGACTTATGTTCATTGTATGGAAACTAGACCCTTTCTTCTAATAATTAATCTCATGGGGTATTCTAGTTTTTGTGTATGTCTAGTTACTAATGGTGCTAAGGATGGTATATTAGTGCACTCCGATTGGTATCACGCTTCAAAGGTCCATCTCTTATACCTTAGCATCATTTGGTAGATATTGACTCCTATATTTCCTATCTAAGCATATGTGCAAGCTACAATCCAAACTCGTAGCACATATGTAGGGGGAGCAATTGCTACCATTTGGAGTTCATGAAACTTGTTCATATCCTTTTACACGTGGTAAATATACTTGGGCAAGCAACATGGATTCAATTAAATTTCAATTCATATCTTTGTGAAAGGGTTGTCATCAATTACCAAAAAGGGGGAGATTGAAAGCTCTAGTTTTGTTTTGGTGAATTGATGAAACCCTAAGTGCTAATCTAGTTTATCAAAGTGATTATGAGATAGGTAGCACTACTCCAAGTGGTGAAGCAATGGTGATCATGACATGATGATGGTGATAGCATGGTGATGATCAAATGCTTGAACTTGGAAAAAGGAGAAAGAAAAATGAAAAGCTCAAGGCAAAGGTGAAACTTGATAGGAGCTTTTCGTTCAAGTGATCGAGACACTTAGTGAGTGTGATCACATTTAGGATTGAAGCCATACTATTAAGAGGGGTGAAACTTATATCGAAATGCGGTTATCAAAGTACCACTAGATGCTCTAACTCATTGCATATGCATTTAGGATCTAGTGGAGTGCTAACACCCTTGAAAATATTTGTGAAAATATGCTAACACACATGCACAAAGGTGATACACATTGTGTTTAGCACTTGGGAGCAAGGGTAAGAAACTTCACCAGCGGAGTGTCCACCCGTAGAGTGGAAGCAGTGAAGACGCTGGTCTCAACTGGACCGGAGCGTCCGGTCAGTGGAAGCAGTGAAGACGCTGGCGTCGGTCTTCGATCGGACGTTGGGTCACTTCGTGATCGGACGCTGGCTGGCTGCGTCCGGTCCTGCTGACGTGGCAGCGCACAGAGAAGACCGTGAGTGACCGGACGCTGGGCGAGTCCGGTCAGGCGTGACCGGACGCATCCCGTCGTGAATTTCCACCTCTGGAAGCTTACTGGAAGTGACCGGACGCTGGGTCCTGCGTCCGGTCGTGATCAACCAGACGCATCCGGTCGTGAGTGGAACCTTACTGGAAATGACCGGACGCTGGTGGTGGTGCGTCTGGTCACTTCGAGCAGCACGTCCGGTCACAACTTAAGTGCACTGATGACCGTTGAGATCAGGCGATCAGCATTTGAAGCAGGGGCCACGTGGCGTGCATCGCGCGACCGGACGCTGGGGTCCTACGTCCGGTCGATCTGACCTGCGCGTCCGGTCGCCCCGTTTTTTAGTGGACTGAGGAGCCAACATCTCTATTTTGTGGGGTCTTCTATTTAAGCCCCATGGCCGGCTCGAGCTCACTCTCTTGGCCATTTGCATTGACATAGCAACCTTGTGAGCTTAGCCAAAGCCCTCCCACTCATCTCTATCATTGATTCATTATCTTTGTGAGATTGGGAGAGAATCCAAGTGCATTGCTTGAGTGATTGCATCTAGAGGCACTTGGTGTTTGTGTTTCGCTGCGGGATTCTCTTGTTGCTCTTGGTGGTTGCCACCACCTAGACGGCTTGGTGCAGCGGTGGAGGATTGGCACGAGTTGGTGATTGTTCGTGGCCATCTCCCGGTGATTGTGAGGGGTCTTGTGCCTTTCCCGACGGAGCTCCGAAAGGTAACTCTAGTGAATTGCTCGTGTCATTGAGATACCTCACTTGTGGGTAGGTTCTTGCGGTGTCTAATTGTGTGGACGAGGTTCGTGCAACACCTCTTAGCCGCCGAACCACCAAGTGTTGGTCGACACAACGGGGACTAGCGTGCCGGCAAGCACGTGAACCTCGGGAGAAAAATTGGTTGTCTCTTGCCCTTTGATATTCTCCCGGTGATTGAGTTAGTATTCATCTTGTGATTGATTCACTCTTCTACGCGGCAGTATAATCACCTCACTTACTCATTTACATTCCCGCAAACTAGTTGTAGCAAGCTCTTTAGTGTAACTAAAATTGAGAGCTTGCTTTGTATCTTAAGTTCATCTAGTGGAGCTCTTTAGTGTAGCAAGTGTGAGAGCTCTTAGTGAGTAGTGAGTAGTGACTTAGTGAATTGTGTGTCTAGTGATCATAGTAACTAGAATTGTTGCATAGGTGGCTTGCAACCCTTGTAGAGCTAGAGCAAGTTTGTTTTTCGCTATTTGTCATATTAATCAAATTACTCTAGTTGGTTTGTAGATTTTTAAATAGGCTATTCACCCCCCCTCTAGCCATATTAGGACCTTTCAGCCGGCACCTGGGTGGCGGCCGGAGGCGGTGGGGGAGAGGCCGTCAGCGCCTCGGCCCGAGGGTTCGGCAAGAGCGGAGCGGCTCCCACGGTTGCATAACATGAGCCTTTGGTGAACATTTTACAATATTCTCCATTGGTTCGTATAGATTATGACCAATCCTGTTGATTTAAGAAATGTTTGGATGGGTCATTGAAATAGTATGAATTTGTAATGGAAATGTTTACTGCGATTAGTAATCTTGTAACTTTTTTCCCCATTTTCGTGAAGGATTTTGGTCATATCCAAATACTAGTACCGTTGAGTCTCCAAATGAAACTTCTTCAGAATTTTTATCTGGTTTTCTTCTTGTTGTTTTCATATTCGGTTTGTCAATAGTTTATTGTGTATTGGAGGCCGTATCAATATCTAAAACATAACATATTTACCAATGGAAGTAGTAATTTTTAGTGAGCACTTCAACGTTTTTTTAGTCTTGTATTTACCTGGTTCAACAAATTTTCAAAACTTGGCAATAGTTCCTGAACCAGGTTAGCTAAACAACCTTTTGGAAATATGCCTAGATTTCCAAAGGCATCCAAAGCATACGAAGTGGCAGATTGTAGGTACGTATACATAGAATTTGTAATGATACGGTTCGGAATAGGTGAATAGTAATGGTTTTCTCCGATCCACAAAAATTGTAGTGGCACCCATCCAACACCCCCACCCCCCTCCCCGGCGCAAGAAATCAATCATAGACCACCTCTATAAATAGATTTCTAGAGACAGCTTTTGTTACCAGCCACATCTAAAAAGAATTTTAATAGAGGCGGCTAAAAACTTTAGCCATATCTGGGAACACTTTTGCAGAGACAGCTCTTTTTTTAGCCACCTCTATCATTCATTTCCCCGCCAAAATTAAAATTAAAATTCTAAGTACATAATGCAATCAACACACACGCACGCATGGTCTGCCCCTGCCCTGCACCGCATCAACTCTAGGAGGGGAAGAGAGAAGGGATCGAGAGGTCAGTAAGAAGAGTGAGAGAGGTGCATCCATTGGGAAGGAGAGGGAGGGGAAAAGATCAGAGAGAGGTTAGTGGTCAATGTCATACTATATGAGAAAGGGAGGAGTGGACGGGAGCACCTGGGGTTAATAAATGCAATTAATTAAAATTTTGGGTAAGATATCCCTGTCAGTCAGTAATACAAATGTGCAGTCAATTATAATTAACTTGTACTGCCAGTTATTTTGAGAACCCGACAGGTAGTAATACTTTTTCTATAGATCCAATAGTGAGATGCTTTATCAGAGGCGGTTCTAAATAAGCTGGTGATATAGACGGCAGTGGTTGCCTATTCTATATATAGTGGTCAACTCACATGGCATGATTGCACGTATTTGTGATGCTATATTCCTTGGCGTGGTAAAATAGCTAGTTTTTAAAACATGAATTTGGCATGTGGTATTCTTAAAGTACGAGTTTTTTTGGCTTAAATAACTCTAGCTTATGTAAGTGTAGCCGAGTCCTTGCCTCAACCAAAAGTTAGTACATGAGGTTTTTTCTCTGTTCGCCCCATGCAACCACGCTCCTAACATAAGAGTGTAAGACACCTTTCGGTGGCATAAGACCAAAGGAAAACCTGTACCATCATTCTCAAAAAGAAGTTAGCAAAATAAGAAATCTAATGACTTGCTTTCCTTATAGCCACTGAACAAGAATGCTTTCTTTAGATAATGACTGAACAAGAATAATGCAAACATTTGCAGCACAACACACCCCACACACCGACGTACACGTACTTGTGTATGTAGTAAAACACATCTCTACTAATCACACAGGTACTTGACAACACCGGGGATGTGAACCCTGTAGAAGTAGTCGTCCCAGTCTATGCACTTGGGATCGAAACCAAAGTCTTCATATCCCCTGCTGCTTTTGTCTTGCCCGTCGTTGCTCGCCATCGCCACCCTCAGCCTCTCCGTGTTGGAGTCATCAAAGCTTTCGACGACCAAACCCAAAGAACAGTGAGCGCGCGGCCATGCATCCCAAAATGCAAAAAAATGAAAAGAAGGAGAAGGGCTTTGATCGGTTGGTTGCTTACCATCCTTTGAACAAGGCGTATGGCGCGTACAGCTCTGCAATATGCATGACGTATCTGTACTTCCTGCCGAGCTCGTGGTAGAGCCGGGAGAAAGCGCCGCACAGGGCAATGTTCAGCAGGCGCAGGACCTCGAGTGGAGGCCTGAACTTGACGGCCATGTACGCGCGGAACCTGGGGAGCGTGCGGAAGAAGCGCATCCTGCTAGGCCGCAGGGGCTCGCTGTTCTTGCCCCCAGACCTCATCAGTGGATTGTGGAGGAAGTAGCGGTGGACGCACTCCGCGAGGACGGCGTACGGCGCCGGGTGCCGCACCGACGACGTCAGGTGGTAGATGCTCTGCTGCTGCGCCTGCTCCACCGAGTGCGCCGCCATTGCCACCATCATGCCGTTCACCACCATGTCCCCGGGAATCTGTCAGAAATCAGAAATATATGCGTCCTTGTTGGTTTGCTGCTTGATAGAAAAGTTCCTCTAAATTTGATGCTGCGTTTGGAAACTCACCACGTCCATTATCAAGTCGAGGTCAACTAAGAAGATTGACAGATTCTGCTTGGCGTAGCCGATGATGAACGAGTCAATTGTCCTGCAAAATCGAAGGCAACCATGCGTTTTGTTTTTCATTCACTGTGCATATATACTGCTGACTGCTTTGCTTGCTGCCATGCAGAAATCAATGGAGAATTCTTGGATGCACATCTGGTGAATTAATTATTTGTTGTCTTTTCGGCCACTTACCTGACACCTTCCATCCATCCAGGCAACGGCTCGTTCAGGACGCTGGTTATGATGCTAGGCCGGACGATGACGACTGGGAGATCTCCTCGAAGGTGCCCCAGCAGCATCTCCCCCATGGCTTTGGTGAACACATAGGTGTTTGGCCACCCGAACTCCCTTGCCCTTCATCGATCATTGACAGAGACATGTCAGGTGCTTGTGATTATTTGGACAGTATTATTAGTAGGTAAGCAGCAAATTAAGATGCATAACCAGGACAATGGACAAATGTACTTTTGTAGTAATGAGTTCTCTAGTTCTCACTCACCTGTTGAGGCCAAGCTCCTTCATGGTTCTTCTCTCAGCCTTTTCTGAAGAACGGTTGGTTTTCAGTTCTCTCCTGGTCTCTTTTATCAGATTTAGTTCGGATTCGATGTCCAGGTGCGTGCCTTCCCTCAGGGTTTCACCCAAATGGAATGGCTTCTCTAGCACTATCCCTTCTTGTTCACCGGCTACATAAGCTGCTCATGAAAATGTTATCAGATTGCTGATAGTTCTTTTAGTTGTACTTGTATTATACCCCCTTAATTGAAGAAAATGGATGGTCCAGATTTGGCCACACAGGAGCAGAGGACTGTTGCTTTCCTACCTGTTGAAACGTGTAGCAGCATCTTGAGTTTACTGCACCTCTTTGCAAACTCACAGATGTGCTTGGCTCCCATGACATTTGTGTCAAAAGCCACATCATACCTGCAGTTTGGCCAGATAATTGAACAAATATTTCCACAATATTCATGCTATCTGAAATAATTTTGTTAACAGAAACAAGCTCAGACCTTTCGTAGAAATTTGTAGTTGCAGCTCCGTTGACAATGATGTCTATTTCTTTCCATATTTCTCTCAGTTTGGCAGGGCCTAGGCCCAAGTTCTCATACATGATGTCTCCTGGCAAAGGGCATACTTTTTCTTGGATGAAACCTTCAAACCCATTGCCATGCTTTTCTTTCAAAATTTGAAAGATCTCCCTTCCTGTCACCTAGCGATAACGAAACAGAGTTTATGCAGAAACATTACCATAAGAGCGATGCTATTAGTGAAACACAACAGTTATCAGGTATATAGTAAGTTTTGCTTCAAACATTCAATGACCTATGCATTTGCCACTAATTTTGTCAGAAGAAAACACATTTCAGATTGAATGCAACTAGCAGATCCATCAGAAGACATTCTGATTCAGCAAACCTGCAGAGTTGCGCCATGCAAGACTACTTTCAGAACCCGGTCCACCTCAGCTATTGTAAGGGGTCACTTTGTCTCTTACTTCCATATCTGTGCTATGCTACTATTCATTTCTCAAAAGCTTTTGCCGCAACTGCCACCTCTTCAGATATAAGAACAATTAAATTTGTGTAATGTACTCTTGTTTGCTTTATCAATATTGCGTGAGCAAGATTTGGGTGGTGCATACATCTTGCATGAGCTGCTCATTGCAAGATATGCACGAGCACAGTGGTAAAGATAGAGGGGACATCAAATTCGCATACTTAAAAGATTCATACACGATTTTTCTCTGTTGTCGAAACAAGTTTTTTCCATGACAGTGGTCTATTGTTGGTTGTCTTTTTTTTTTTGCTTCGGGTATGTAACTTTTCTGAAGAATTTTTCTTTCTCCTAATAATATATTTCGTCAAAGCTCTTGCCAACCTTTTGAAATAAATAATTCATCTGTCCTTCTATGTAGAAATGGTTTCCAGAAAAAAAAATGCATGTGATGGAGAAAGTTCAGACTGGGCCATTGGACACAACTTCAGAAACTAAGATGGAAGGAAGAATAGAAGAAATATTTTTGTTTTCACCTCAGTCTCGACCCTCTGCTTCGCAGACTCGACATCGGCGGATCGAATAAGCAGGAAGAGCTTCTTGACATCCGGCTGAACCCTCAGTATCTTCTCCACAAGCACTACAGAGAGACGAAAAGGAAGAAAGCAAGCACCGCCCCCCACTGAGATGACCAGCCATGCATTGTGCAGACATCCTGAAAAAGTACTAGATGGACGAGTTCATGCATGCATGAAGAGGTACCGTACCTTTCCCCAGGAAGCCAGTTGAACCAGTGATCAGGATGCTCTTGCCTCTGAAGTAGCGTACAACAACGTCTGAATCCAGTTCACCTATCATCTTCGAATGTGCAAGCAGTGTGGTCCGTGTAGCGGTGTAGGTGAATCTGAGTTTCTGATGAGATGTAGTACTATGCCTTGTAGTTGTAGGGTTAAAGGCTACTTGTTTGTTGGATGTTAGCTTTGGGATCCTACAGAGAAACAGACCATGTATTTATAGGCGGGAAGAGAGACGTGTGTTTCAGTGGGCAGCAGGAACCAGGATGGTTGCTGTAGTAAATAAATAGAGGAGCTAATTGATTATGGACACAAAGCAAAGCGTCCTTCGTTGGTGAGCTCTTCAAGCGGATTAGCTAGCTACTCCCTCCCCGTCCACAAAAGAATGCAATTATAGAAACCATACCAGTCAAGATAACTCATGTTTGACCAACTTTACAGTAAATAGTATTAGCATTGATGTCTCTAAATAAATTTATTGTGAAAATAGATTTAATGACGAATCTAATGATACTTATTTTATATCAATGAATGTTAATAAATTTTTATACAAATTTAGTTAAAATTAAAACTGTTTGACTTCTCAAAAATGAAAATTACATTTTTTTATAGACGAGGGAGTATACTGTTGTTGACTGACGTACCGACGTCAGTTTGAAGTGTCCTAGCCTGCCGCCTGCGATGATTGGCAAAATGATAATTAAAAGTCATGATATTATATATACAGTATTTTATTTGAAAGGACGGGCAATTTTTTTTACTGTCGACGGTCAATTTTTTCACATCATCAACCACTTTGTTGACATATACTAGTACCCTGCTAGAACTGGAGCACTATTTCCATGTGAGTGCACAATGATCATATAATATATAGTGGCACATGGTGATCGATCACTTTCAGAAATTTGGACATAGTCAGCCTGTTTGTTGGTTTTACTAGGCTTATCAGCCAGCCAACAGTATTTTCCTCTCACAACAAATCAGCCTCAGCCGAGCTTATCAGCCCAGAAACCAACCAGCGAACAGGCTCAGTGAAATATATAGTGGCCTTCCCATGATAAATTTTAGGTGAGCCACCCATCATGCACGTTCCATGTCACCCAATGGGAACACTTACGTCGCCTCTCTTTAGTTTCTACGTGGCTAGCGTTCGGATGTTCACACGGACGCCTACGCCTACTGGCCTGCTGCGCATGACCGCCCGCCTGCCTGTTGCCCCTACTTGCCCACCTGCCCGCTGCACCTGCCTTGCCCGCCTGCTCGCCCGCCCATGCCTACTGCTGCGGCTGCCCACCCGCGCCTGCCGCTCCGTGCCCATGCCACTCCATGGGGATCGCCCACAGCCGCTTCACTTCCCACTCGCACGTGGGGACCGCCTGCGCCTACGTCCGCTTCCCGCACCTACTCAGGAAACACTTGCAATATGAAGCACTTGCTGCAACATACGTCTAAAACAGATGAAACATTTAAATCATATAGTAAAAACATGTATGTATAACCACTGCAACATCTAGATAAAGCACTTGTAACATACGTCTAAAACAACTGAAACATTTAAAATATACAGTTACAACATAAGTGTACAGCCATTGCAACATGTGCAATACCAGATCTATTTTTACAACATGGCAGATGAAACATATGCAACATACATCTAAAACGCACGAACCATATAGTTGCAACATGTGCTCACCTACTTGCTGCTTGGGTAAATGGAAGCTCGTTGATGTGGAGCTCGACACCGGCACGAAGCTCGATGGCATGGAGTGGCACAGGGGTCCGCCAGTGCGAAGCTCATTGGTGGCACGGACCTCGGCAGTGACCATGGCAGGCGGATGGAGCATGGCCATGGCGGGAGGCGTGAGTTAGAGCGGGGGACGCAGTGGAGGCGGCGAATCCATGCAGCGGGGCGCGTGTGGCGCAGCGTAGTTTTTAAGTTTGGAATTTCACAAGGACCCGATGGCTCTCGAGAAGCTACGTTCCTTCTTTTGCTTTCTATATATCGAACATTTGGAGCTTACGAGTTCCATTACAGAAGGAAAAACAGAGTTCAAGTACGTGTATGCCTTTGGTTCTGTGTCCTACAAATATTTGCATACTATCATATCGAACACATGTTTGTATATAGTGATATCTTGTGTAGATGTAGCTTAGCTAGTTAGAGTAGCTCTCTAGTGTAGCCAAGAAGTAATTAGTCGTTTATTCTTGCTAGGTTGCTCACTAATGGTAGAATTAGCGACATAGCCATTGTGTGTTCACTACAAATCATAGCACACTAAACTTGTGAATAGGTGGCTTGCAATACTTATAGTGCTAGCGCAACATTTGTTTCACCATTTAGTTGACTAACAAATTATTTCATTGTTCTTATAGAAATTTTTTATAGGCCGCTCACCCCTCTAGCCTTTTAGGACCTTTAGCCTCTAAATAATATCAGATAAAAATATTTTCAATTACAAGTTGTATAACATATTGAGAGTAGCAACTGCCATGTAAGCATCCGATATAGTTTGAAAATTTCAAAATTAGAGAACTTATGCCCTGTTTGGTTGGGCTTTTGGCTTTGGCTTTTGGCCCCAAAAGCCAAAAGCCCAACCAAAGGGGCTGTTTTTGGAGGGTGCTTTTTCGAGAGCAGCAATCGTCAGTAGTTCATTTTTGAAAGTTTTTGACCTCTTTTGGCTTTACTTTTCTTTTGAAATTGGTGGAATAAAAAGCTCTTCCATAGTTGTTTCAAGAGAGATAAAGATAAAAGGTATATTTTATACTTGTTTAACCAAACAACTTTCAGCTTTTTTACAGCTCACAGCTCCACACAAAGAGCTTTTCCACACCATGACTCAAATTTCACACATTTTTTTCCTACAAAAGCCATACCTTAAATTGAATATTTAATCAACTAAATGATTTTAGGCAAAAAGTTGTCAATTGTAGAGTAGTACTCCCTTCATTCACAGAAGAATACAATTATGAGATTTTTGCGAGTCAAACTAACTTAGCTTTGACCAAATTCATATTAAATAATATTATGTCTCCCATTAAATTTACTACAAAAATATATTTCATAACTAATTTAATTGTACTTATTTTGTATCATAAATATCAGTATTTTTTATATATGTTTAGTCAAACTTTAAGTCGTTTGACTCCTCAAAAAATAAGAGTTGTATCCTTTTATGGACAGAGAAGTATGGCTTACTGGGAACAACAACTTTAGTATAGACCATGTTAACATCCGAGGTTGTATGAATAAAAAATTAAAATTTTAAATTTGATAAACTTAAAATAAATATTTAAGCCTCTTAAAGATTTTAAATGAAAAATTTATCAACTACAAAATTGTAGATCATGTCAAGCTCTATAATTTTGGTATAAAGTTTGTGTTTATATGGCTTCATATGAAAAAGTTATCAGATTTGCCTAAATTATGGCACCATCGAGGTACACCCCGAGTTCTTGAGTCATTTTTAGCAGGGAAGATTTCCTCTTTTTAGGAAAAGGAAAAAAGAAAAGAAAAATCGGGAGGAAGAAGATGGCACGATCAGGGTTTTATGCGCCATTAATTGGACGGCCCAATGCATGCATGGAGTCATGGAGTGCAACAGAGAACTGCAATGAACATTATGAAAGGAGAGATTCCTAGTGACAGGGGCAGATGCCAGAGGATTTTGGTCCCACGGTTGGCATGGTGCGTTTTTATTATGTTCTTGTCGTCCCTACAAATGGCGTCGAATCGAGCCATCCACACACACACACGCACAGCTCGTGCATCGGTTTCCACGAAGAGGACGGCCGGTGTCAGCTTCGCCATTACTAGCGACGCCGGCGGCCCAACCGTGAGCTGCGCTAGAGACGACGAGAGCCCAGAGGTAGCTTGCACAAGCATGGCCGTCCTTGTCCCCGGAGAACACGAGGCTCTCGGGCCCCACGGCGCGGCTGTCCAGCGGCAGCAGCTCGGCGTCGGCGTCGCCGATCTCCAGCAGCACGGCCAGCGCCACCTCCCCGCCGGCGCGCACCATAGCGCATCATAACGCCTGGCGTCGCGGTGGACCGTGGATCCACAGTGCGGGCGGGCGTGCAAATGCGCGTGGCAGCCTGCTGCCCTATCCACGATACGATCGACCGGTGGCCAGGGCGAGCGAGGGGAGATTTTTTTTTAATTTTAACACTTTTTTAAACTAATTCTAAATCTAACACTGTTTATTTTTTATTTTCAAATCTAATACTTTTGGCCGCGCCTATTGTTATAGCGCGGTGAAATGTCTGTGTCGCGTCATGCATGGTGATGCGGCGAGAGAATTGACGTGGCGACGACTAGGACTCTAACCGATGACGTGGCAGGGTCTACCGCGCCACCGATCTTGGCGCGGCGCTTCCACGCCCTGATCGGTTGCGCGGCAGAGCCGCCCTAATGATGAACTGTGAGACTGCAGGCACCGCGCAGGCAAAGATCGATGGAGTGGGCTGCAGGAGCTGACACCTTCCCGCGGCGTGCACAGTGCCGCCGCAGAGAGCATCGGGTCCAACGCCAGAGGGTGAGCAGCAGCGTATGGGCTGAGCCAGGGCATCGTTGACACGTGTCTCCTGCATCGCGTGCGGCGCGCTGACGCCTGGCGGGACTCCAGAAAGGGTAGATGTGGATGGGGTTTTTCTATTGGGCGCTGTCGGATAGTACGGCCGGTCGGGCGGCTCTACCTCTCTGGCTCTCCTCTCCCTGGTACCCAACGGGTGACGGGCCACGGCAAGAAAAGAAAAATGTTCACCGGTCAGTCAGAGGCACCTGTTTTCCTGACTTTATTCCCTGCATGCACGAGAAATATTATTATCAAAGGAGGTCAATAAAGTTGTACAAGTCCAGCACAAATCTACTAGTTATATCAAAGGAAATTAGCAGAGATTTTATATATACAAATAAAATAAAAATGTAACCAAATTAAATTGTATGCTCCCTCTCTCACAGAGAATGTCATTCTCGCTTCCTGAGAAGTTAAATATTTTTAAATTTGACCAATTATATATAAAACAATATTTATATTTATAATACATAATTAGTATCATTAGATAAAT